GTCTCGGGACATGGAGTAGAGAGCGGGAACGGATTCAATGGAATTGTAATAGATAAGCATGATATCGGGGGTGGGAGGGCAATAGATGGGGGGAGGGGGGTTGTTACCTGGTGAGGGTGAAAAGGGTAACTATTGTATTGTTCTGTACACCTGAAAGTAACAATAAAAAAATAAATTATAAAAAAGGAAGTAGCTTAATTTAGATATCTCTGACTTTAAAGAGTGACTGACAAATTTTTAAAAATGAACCACAAATATTATAAATGAGAAACTTCAATATTCCTGGATGAGAGACTAAATATGATAAAGATGTCAGCTTTGCCCAGATTTATTAATAGATGTTGTATAATCCCATTAAAATCTAAATAGTGTTGTTTTCTTATAACTTGAAAAAATTATTATAAAATTCAGTCAAAAAAGTACCAGGTGAAATTATCAAAAATTTTTGTGAAAAAACAAGTGTGCTGCAATGGTGAACCCTAATGGCCAAATATTAAAACATATTAAAAGCAATAATAATTAAAATAACATGGTACTGACCCCCAAATAGACATGTATTTTAATTGAAGAGAACAAAAAGCCCAGAAATACTGTATACTTATAAAAATGTAATAAAAGTTATCATGAGTCAATTAGCCAAAATAAGCATTATGTAGAAAATTATGATGGATAATGGAATACCAATTTTGATACAAGTAGTGGTAGATTGTTATAGCAATGGCTCCCACAAAATTCATTCTCCCTGTTTCTACACCCTTGTGTCTCTGTGTATGGACACACCACAAAGTTATGGGTGGTTTGTTATGCAGCAATAGATAAGTCACATAACATCTTACAGCATATACCAAAATATATTCCAGATGAAGAGTTAAATGTGAAATTAAAAGAAAATAAAACTTGATCTGAGACCGGAATGAACTTGTGACATGCAGGCACAAGACATTCTGGTAGTGTGCTAACTTGCTTGGTTTCACAAGGGAAAACCTGAAATTTGACTACTTAACATTAAACATCTCACAAAGTACAATAGCAAAAGAAAAAATAAAATGGAAAGATAGACAAGAGACTGGGAAGAGCAATAGCATAAAATATGGCAGGGGTCAATGTCACTTCTTTATAAACATCTCATTGAAATTCATATGTAAAACAAAGCTATGCACAAAAATTTACATCAGAGGACAGGTATTGAGTTGTCAGAAAAGTCATGATGCATGTTTGCAACAGATGGCACTAGTTCATTTTTGGAAGTACTAGAGTCATTCGCATCAATGTTATTGCTATGTCATTTGACAGCTGACAGTTCTAGCTTCATTCTAAAAAAAATTGAGCGATTTGTTTGAGTTTTGGAGATTTTACAACAAATTGAAAATGAAAGACCAAACTGCATTTTTGCCATTTA